GTTCCGTAGCTATTCGAGCCCCGGAAGCAAGACGACTCCCGTAATGCCCAGTCGAGAGGCGCCCCTCACGTAGTGACTCCGCTCCTGTAAGGAGACGGGGCTGCGACCCTTTTAGAAGGCAAGACTCCCGTAAGTCTCCGTATAGGAGCGCCTCTCCCAGGGGGACTCGGTCTGTGCCCGGAGTCAATCCACCTCGTCTTTGGTTTTCCTCTTTCCCTGCTACTGTTGACTTTCAACTGCCTTGTTTTCTTTTCTGTTGAGCCTTCCCAGGATGTGCCCGTCCAATCCCATGCATATCTTCCCATATGTGAATTGGAGAGCTCATTTTCAAAGGCTGCAACTTCCAGTATTTGCTATTCATCCCCGTTGTTTCACTTGTGGATCTTTGTCATGACTGCATATTCCGTTCCCCCCTCTCCCCGCACCTTTTCCTGACCACTGATTGCTGCAGCGTTGCCGTATTTTGACTGAATTCTCTCATGTTCCTTCCCACCCAGCAATCAGACTGTCAGAAGGAACTTGGACGGCTGCCCCTGTCAGTTTGTGGAGTGGGGAAGGCACCCCTCCGTGTGGACATCACCCACTGACTTTTATCTCTACGCTTCAGGGCAGTGTTATAGCAATGGCAATAAAAGTCACCCAAATGACTTCCTTTCATTATCTTGCTGGCAATGAATGCAAAAGCTTCTTAATGAGAGAGAGAGAGTTCTTTTCAACTGAGCATCCTTCTGCTTTTCTAAGAAGTTGGAAGTTGCCTCGGGAAACCTTTGGGATGGTTATGGGATGCCTTTGGACAAGGCATGCTGGGAAGTGTCAGCAGCCGAGGAAGATCAGGAGAAAAACAGAGCTAAGACATGCCTTTAATGATCACTACCCCCCTCCACTCCCGAAGGAGTTGGCTGGACAGCTCAGTGGTTTAGGTATCTGGTTGGAAGTTCGAGTCCCCCATGGAGCCTCCTGGGAGAAGAGCCAGCCTGGGTGGCCTTGGGCCATTCGCACACAGTCCCAGGGCACCCCCTAGTGGGAGGGAAAGGGAAACCACTTCAGAGTCTTCTCTGCCAGGAAAACCCTGGGAAGGGCTGCCATAACTCAGAATGGACTTGAGTGCACATGATTATAGTACAAACTGCTGGATAGCTCAGTGGCTTAGGTTCAGAGGTTGAAAGTTGGATTCCCCGCTGTGGCTCCTTGGGTTCGATCAACAGGGTCCCTTTCAGCTCTGCAGCTTTTATTATTGTTAACCCCTATATATTCTTGACTATGTTACACCAAATATGGAGAGGGGGACAGGGAATGTTAAGGGCCACGTCCCCTCCGCTACAGAGGGTTGCCCTCATTTGAGAAATAATAATAATAATTAATAGTACTTAACAGGTGTGCAGCGTTCTCAAGAGTTTCAAGCACTCCAGATGCATTGATTACAAACTGGTAAGGGAAGTCACCATTACTATACTTGCTAGCAAACATTCCCAGATGGGCAGAAATTAGTTCCTCTTCTCCTCCTTCTCTCCCTGCACTCATCTACCCACTGAGCCTGCTGCTCTTTCTTACTGCCCAGCTGCTTTTCCTTTGCCCTCCCCATCCCTCCACAACTCTGTTTCTTCTCCATCCTGAGACGTGGAGGAGATCTGGGGCTCCGACAGGGACTGGGGCTAGATCTGTGGTGAGGATTCCTGGCCGGTGCTCCTGGGATCCTCCACCTCGGGGTCCCACAGGGACAGTCCAGCCAGTTTGAGGAAGCCCCTCCATCCTGCATCCTGCCCGGTGCTGGACCAAGCCAGCCCCATTCCCATCCAAAACTCAAGGCTGGAGGCAGACATGACTGAAAGAGCAGCAGTGGCACCTCCAGGACCTGCAACCACCAAGCCTTGCAAGCTTCAGGCTTTGTCTGGGCTGGGGGGGGGAGCGCCCCACCTTCAGACCCCAAAGGGAGTCCTGCCTTGAAAGAGGCAGTGGGCTGTCCAGCCCTGGTGGACTTAGGGGTCCCACAAATAGCCACCCCTAAGTTCCCATGTTCTCTTTTACGAGACTAGCGCTCAGGGAGGCAGCTGTGTTCATCTGCTGCAGTGAAAGAGGAGACGAGACATCCAAAAATGTGACGTCTTTAAGATCAACAGGCTTGTTTCACTCCGAGATTCAGAGGGAGCCATCGCGGATGACAATCAAGTTGTCAAGTGGATCACAGGACATCATAATCCGGACAAGAAGTGACTTATAGTGGATCGTGATCCTCCAAAGGTTGTACTGAAATAAATCCGCTAGTCTTAAAAGTACCATGACACGTTTTCTCCATTTGCTTACTTTCTCTTTAAAACCATAGCTAAAGAGTGAGGTCTGAACTGGGGTTGTTCCCATTTGAGGCTCTTTTGGACACACTACGGTATCTGATCAGTCAGATGTCCTTCCGCCAAGCATCAACCCTGAGCTGCCGGCAGGGTGGCCAGGAACGTGCGCCTTGTTGCAACCATTTTGAGGAGCCATCCTGTGAGTAGAGCATGCACGGAAAACAGGAATGACTGAAAGAGACACTTAAGAAAGAAAAAAATGGGAAAGATTGTGCAAGTCCATACTTGGTGAGATGGAATTACACCCCAGAGAGTAGCAGAGCAAATGTAAGATGTATTCACATATTCTACTTCTGGCTCAATCTCTCCCAAGATCTATTAGAAACCAAAGCAGAGTTCTGAGAAGTAGATTATCACAACAAGAGAAGGCTTATGCCAATCTATCCCACTTTCCCTCACCTTACCAGCGGTTTCAGCTGAATGAATGGCATGTGATCATTCTGCTGAAACTGGGGTTTAATTTAGCTTTCACTTGCTCTGCAATCAAAAAGCGATGACAAATTGCAAATGAACCCAAATGATGGGGAAAGATAAAGAACAACAGTGGTCCAAAGCTGTCATCTTGTTAAGAAAATTTGTCAGAATAAACTTGGGAAAGGAAATAATTTCTCCCTTCCCTATTAGCAGAAACGATGGGTGGTGACAACTAGATATTCTATGATCACAATAATGTTGTTTACACAGAGAATAATTTGGAACAAACTGCAAGAAGCAACAGTTTGAAATACACATTGCATACTTTTAAAAATGGTGTTGTTCAGTGTCCATTTCCTAGCCTCTAACCTGTTCTCCAACTGACATTGTTATTGAATCCCAACATAGGATTGGAAGGATGCTGTTTTCATTTTTTGCTTCTGGTGCACAACAAGTTCAAATCCAGCTTGGTTGTTCTGCAAGCTAAAGGAAGCCCCTTTTTAAAATGTGTTATTTCAGTGTAGAGACAACAAGGTTAGAATTCTGGAAGCGGTCTTGTTACTAAGGGTCTCATTAACTGATTCTCCATCTAGAAGCAGTGCACCCTTAAGAGAAGAAAACTGTCTGTTTATTCTAATACAGTGTTTCCCCAACAATAAGACAGGGACTTATATTATTTTTTGCTCCAAAAAACACAGTAGGGCTTATGTTCAGGGGATGTTTGATTTTTTCCATATACAACAATCTACATTTATTCAAATACAGTCATCTCATATTCTTCTGGTGACTGCACAAGGGTCAAGGGTGGGCTTATTTTTAAGATAGGGCTTATATTATGAGCATCCTGAAAAATTAATACTAGGGCTTATTTTCAGGTTAGGTCTTATTTTCGGGGAAACAGGGTACAAGCATGCTTCATTCCATATTTGGCAAATTATGCCTGATTTTGGTTATCTAAATGGTCAAGTGGGAGATTGTATGGTGTTTAGTTTTGTGCAAGTTTGACCCCTCAGGCATGTCACACTGAAAGATTTGCATATCTGCAGGGATAATGTTGTGAGGAAGACATACATTGTCCTAATTTGTGGTCTGCTTTGAAGAAGTCCAACAAGGATTGTTTTCATTAGTATTTTTTGTGCTAAGGATGCTCTTGAGTTGTATGCTTACCTTAGCTAAAGTCTCCGTTTCCTTCCAGATGCGAGAGCTTTGGAAGGAGATAAAAAGCAAAAAATCCTGGGTGGGAATGTGTGAGCTGGAGTATCTCATGACTAAAGTTAACCTATTTCCTGACTGAATGGATAGGAGTTGCTTCCTGCGAGTTTCAAAGCATGAGGACCTATTGCTGAGTCACCACTCCAGTGGAACCACACATATTCTCCCTGAAATCAGAGGATGAGAAACCAAAGGAGTTCACATCTTCAAGAAATCAGAAGACTGAGCCACTGAAGGGCAGCTATGCAGGAACTAGAAAAGACCTTAAATGTAAGGATGTGTCACTGGAGACCAAGAAGGCTGAGATATCCATACTCTTGTATTCCCAATGACTATGTTCAGATATGAAAGCTGGAGAGTGAAGGAAGCTGACAGGAAAAAAGATTGATTTGTTAAATAAATGGTGGTAGAGGAGAGAGAGCTTTTTGGATACCACCAGCCGCCAGAATGACGAATAAGTGGACTAAAGACAACCTAAACACTCTCTAGACAGGAAAAGTGACTAAGCTTTGGGCATATCATGAGAAGACAAAAGAGTAGCTGGAAAAAAAATAATGTGGGTAAAAGCTGAAGGCAGCAGGAAAAGAGGAAGGTCAAAGACGAGATGGATTGACTTGGAAAGGAGCCACAACTTGACGTCTGCAAGACCTGAGAGCGGCTGTTCTAGGACCTTTTGGAGGTCACAGATTCATGCGGCTGTTGTAAGCTGGAAGAGACCTGATGGCACCTAAGAACATCTGGAGGGCGTGATTTGTACCATGACAAATCTTAGCCGCCTTAGTTCTTTTTTCAGGAGAAAGGCAGGGTCAAAATATTTCAAATAGATAAAATAAAATAAATAAAGTGATGGCTCCTCGTATTGGGATAATGTTTTATTGGGTGGGCCAGACTATATTTTCTTCCACTGATTATCTGTTAAGGAGGTGTTCAGATTTATCCCCCAGATGCCGGAAGAATGGTGCGTGGCTGTCAGGGCATTGCAAGAGTTGGAGGAGGTCGTTCCACCCAGTAAGGCAAGGCCTTCCCTACTTCCCGGCTCAGGCCCATGTCGCATCTTTAGAGCTTAGCATTCTGTTCCCAGCAGTAATGGGTCAGCTAGAATTCTGCAGCGGGCGATCAAGGCGAAGGCCGTGTCTTCTTCCTTGACCCCCAGCACCTGGCATTTAGAGGTAGACTGCTTCTGAACACAGCAGCTCCACAGGAAGGTCAAGGCCTGGCGCAATACGGCAACATGGAATGAAACAAGGACATAATAGCCAGGAGGGATTCCTTCAAATGGTTTTCCTTGGTTCCATTGGGTTGATTTCTAGACAAGCTTTTCGACTGAAGGCCCAGCCTCTGGCAGAGAGGTAAGCAGGAAGGAGGCATGATTTCCTGGCATGGGGACCTGAGTCGTGAGACTCATAGAATCACAGAGTTGGAAGAGACCACAGGGGGGGCCATCGAGTCCAACCCCCTGCCATGCAGGAAACTCCATCAAAGCACTCCCGACAGAGGACCATCCAGCCTCTGCTTAAAAACCGCTTAGAGTGGTCTTTTAGACCAGATGGGCGGGGTATAAATTAAACAAACAAACAAACCTCCAAGGGAGGAGACTCCACCACACTCCAAGGCAGCCTCTTCCACCACCAGACAGCTCTGACCGTCAGGAAGTTCTTCCTAATGGAATTTCTTCTCTTGTAGTTTGAAGCCACTGCTCCTTCACCTAGTCTCTGGAGCCCTGGAAAACAAACCTGTCCCCTCTTCCACATGACATCCCTTCAAATATTTAAACATGGCTATCATGCCCCCTCTTAACCTTCTTTTTGTAAGGCTAAACATTCCCAGCTCCCTAAGCCGCTCCTCATAGGACATGGCCTCCAGACCTTTGGCCGTTTTGGCCACCCTCCTCTGGAACACGCTCCAGGTGGTCAACCTTCTTCTTGAATTGAGGTGCCCAGAACTGGACAGAAGCCTCCAAGTGACGTCTGACTGAAGCAGAATGGAGTGCTACTATCACTTCCCTTGATCTGGACACTATACCCCTATTGATGCAACCAAGAATCGCATTGGCTTTCTTGGCGGTAGCATCACAATGCTGATTCATGCTCAATTTGTGATCTACCAAGACTCCTGGATCCCTTTCACAGGTACTGTTGTCTAGTCAGGTGTCTTCCATCCTGTAACTGTGCAGTTCATTTTTTTCTGCCTAGGTGTAGGACCTTACATTTCTCCCTGTTGAAATTCATTTTGTTAGTTTTGGCCCAGGACTCTAATCTGTCAAGGTCATTTTGGATTTTAATCCTGTCCTCTGGGGAATTAGCAACCCCTCCCAATTTGGTATTATTTGCAAATTGAATCAGCATACTCGCTATTCCTTCGTCCAAGTTATTGATAAAGATGTGGAATAGCGCAGGGCCCAGAACAGAACCCTGAGGCACCCCACTGGTTACCTCTCTCCAGGATGAAGAGAAGCCATTGGTGAGCAGCCTTTGGGTTCGGTCAGTCAACTAATTATAAATCCACCGAAAAGTAGCACTGTCTACCCCACATTTTACTAGCTTCCTTGCAAAAATATCACGGGAACTTTGTCAATGGCCTTACTGAAATTAAGGTATGCTACATCCACAGCGTTCCCTTCATATATCAAGCTTATAACTCTATCAAAAAAACCAGAGATCAGATTAGTCAAATTGGATTTAAGTTGCACCAGTGAGTCGACTCAGATTTGACTCGTGGCTTGGAACCCACCCACCCCTTCCTTTTTTCTCAGGGGAGGGGGAGCTTATTTTTATTAGGGAGTTGGATTTTGGGCTTGGGACTCAAAACTTGGCACCAAACAATTGGATTTGAGACTGAGATCCAAAGACTTGGCCAACAGGTCTTCTAAAGTGCCCATCGGGAGAAACTGGGTTCACTCCGTGGAAAAGGCCAAGGGTCATCTGATTAAATGCAAAGCTGGCAAACTATCTGTTGGAGGCGAGCATGGCTGGGAGCCTGCAAAATGAACGAGAGAGAGAGAGAGAGAGGTTGGCCTCAAGGGTAGGTTCTGTGGCACCTGGCCTCTTGCCAGGCAAGGTGAATACATGCACCAGATTAACCCGCTCTGAAGCTGGTTCTTCACCATCTGGAAAAGACCTGCTCCATCCACTGGGATTTTTAAGGGTTCAGCCAAAAGAAGGGATTATTAAGAAGTTCAGAACTCAGGCAGAGTGGGGGACCATCCTCTTGCCATCTGCTCAGTTCTGGCAGAGGGGGAATGGGTGGGGGGCTTCTGGCCCATCTCCCAGAGCAGTTCTTCCCATGGGTGTCTCCCTGGAATCACCAGCCATTCGGATCACATTGGCCCTACGCATTTTGGGCACTGGCCCTGTGACTGGTGCACCAGGAAAGAGGTTTGAAAGCTTAAGAGAAAAGTGCAGGGGACGGGCTGAGAAAGATGATGATCAAAGCTGATTATAGATTATAACCCAATGCTGATTATAGATTACATACAGATTAGAAACTAATGCTGACTACAGATTATAACCGAATTAGGTTATAATTTATAACTTCATGCTTAAAAATGAAGAAGATGGACTCACACTTCCTTAATGCTCTCCCCCTCTGATGAAGGTTTGACTGAATGCTCTCCTTTTCTGGCTGCAATCAAGTGGAGGGCCCCCCTCCTTGCGCTCTCTTATCACCCCAGGCTACTGCTCTCTGTGTTTGTCTCTGGGTTAAAAAAAGAATACAACTGCCTGGGGCATTCTTTGCCACATAGCTTATTAAAATGAACGGGAGCGATGTGTGAGTAGCGAGTGGTCATGCAAACCGGGGTCAGGGTCCAGTGATGTAAGCCAGTCCGCCTCAACCCACATTCTGATTCCACCAGAAGGGTTGGCTTTGGTACCTACTGTGGTTGGCAAGGCAGAAGCTATGGATGGATAGAGCCAGAGGCAAAAGGGTTCTATCTTTCTCACTCCCTTTTAACCTCTCTCTCTCTCTCTCTCTCTCTCTCTCTCTCTCTCATACACACACAGAGACACCATATGTTGCTAGCGGTGAATTCAGAAGTGCAACCCCTTACCATGTACTTAGTACTTCACAGATGCAGTCCCACGGAGAGTTGAACAAGGCAGGTGTGTGTGTTGATCCACAGCAGCAGATCCTTTTTTTCCCCAAGCCTAGCTTTCTAAAAAGGCAATAATCACCTGGAAGTCCTTGGTGAATCGTGGCTCCGATGGACTGATCACGACAGCCCTTCCCAACTGGGGTCTGGGTGAGAGGAAGCATCAGGAACGCACGCGCGCACGCATGCAGGTTCTGCTAGTTTCTCAATGGCTCCTGTTCCATCAGCCCTCCCAAAGCGAAACCTACTCTGAGCAGAACAGAGTCTTTCACAAGACCAGCGTTTTGTTGTTATTGCTGCTGGTGCTTGGTTTTCTTGTTGTTCTCCAGACACGCGTGCATTCCGACGTACAATCCAATTGGCTACGGACAACTTGGTTTTGATGGGGTTTTATTTACTGAACCCCTTATGCCCCGGATTTCTACCGATTCTCCCCACCAACCTTTAATCATTATATTTTATCCCATCTTTTCCAAGAACATGCCCCTTTAGTGTCTTAGCTGTACAACATCTTTTTGAGGCATATTAGGCTGGAAGAGTATCCCATCTTTTCCAAGAACATGCCCCTTTTGTGTCTTAGCCGTACAACATCTTTTTGAGGCATATTTATTTATTTTTTATTTATTCCATTTATACCCCGCCTATCTGGTCATATTGTCCACTCTAGGCGGCTTACAACATATTAGGCCGGAAGAGCGTGGCAGTCCCAAGCTTGGTAGCACAAACAGATGAGATACCAATTTTGCAATTAGAAAAATCAAGGAGCGTTTGTTTCTTCTGGGCAAATTACACATCGATTTTCATCACATTACGTAAACTTGGGATTCATTTGCTATTTTGTTCTGCTTTGGAAAAACAAAAGCCTCTTTGGAGAGACAATGTGAGTAGCGAGTGGTCAGAGTTAATACCATGCAATATGGTATTAATACCTTCTAATCCTGAGGCTGGTGTTGTGTCTGTTTCTGCCCTAAGCTTCATAAATGGCCAGGAGTTTGAACTGGTATCTTCCAGGACCTGTTCCGACACTCTTTGCAATAAAGCACACTGGTTACCATTCACAGGCTCGATGTTATACCGATTTTGCTTTGCATGAGTAAAAAAGAAACAGGGTTTTGGCCACTGGTGAGCATCCTCTAGCTTGCAAGAGAGGACTCTACAGGTGTGGTTCCCAACCGTGGGTTCCTAGAGGTTACTGAACTACAACTCCCAGAAACCTTAGCCACCACAGCTAGTGGTGAAGGCTTCTGGGATTTTTAGTCCAAGAACCACTGACCCTAGAGCTACAAATTTCAAGAACCTCCAGGGACCCGAGGTTGGGAACCACTGACCCTAGAGCTACAAATTCAACAGCCTACGACATCTCGTGCCAAACATGTGATCTGTAATGTATTCGGTGCGCATCGGGGGTGTGGGAGAGAGCAAACTGTAATTAGCAGCTGCTCCACACACTCAGGACAACCAGGATAATCAGTGTCTTCTGTTTTTCTGTATTAAAGACACGGAGTTGAAGCTTCTGTCAATTCTTGTGATGCCGCTGAGTGGAGGCCTGAGCCGTAATTATACACATCTAAATAATCTCTCAGATCTTTTTCACTGCCTGTTCCTTATTAACATCTCAGCATGCTTTAATTTTATGAGAAAGACAAGAGTATCAATTCATGTCGGCTGTGGGACAGAAGGAGATGACTATTTCTCTACCTCGCCACATGTCTGCAGGATCAGCATCCAAGACTCTGGACCCCCCAGCGACTGGCAGGTCCAATTAAAGACCTCTTTATGTTTGTGTGTGTGTGTATTTCCTCTCCTCACTAGCAGACCACTTCTGCATGCTAAAATACCACACAACACAAATCAAATACGAGCTAAATGACGGTGTTTTCCCCTCCTTAAAAAAGACGTGGTGTGGAGAGGGGAATAAAGTAAGCTGCTATGCGGCCCTGATCCAAATCAAGAGCCC